TTTCTAAAATACAGCCTAACTTCTGAGGTGTGGTACCAGCACTTGGGGTGGGCAGAGGTGATGGGAATGTGTAAGTCCATTTCTCACTCTACTGAAGAATTTAAATCTGCCATGTAGAAAACGCTTATAGTAAAATAATAGCTAACATCCGCTCACTTAGTATGGACCAGGCACTGTTCCAAGTGATTTATATGCATTGTTGTTGGGTGCCATCGAGTCGTTTTTGACTTAAATTTTATAGTAACCCTATGAAGTTGGTACTATTGTTACTTTTATTTCACAAAAGAAGAAACTGAGGTTTAAATAAGTTGTCCCTTGCCCAAGGTCACATAGCTGGTACTACAGCATTATTTTCCAGGTCAGTATAAAATAAAATGCTTTCTGCACCGCCCTGTGACTTTATCTGTCAGCAGCAACACAACCCATGGTTCACAGAAGGAAATATTGACTAATGATATAACTGAATCACAACAGGTCAATTTTTGCATTCTGCAATTCCATGGAAGCTCAACCTTCTAAAATGAAGCTATGTTTCTTTGCTGAAGTCAAGTAGAAATAGAAACATCTTACTCCACTATGTCAAATTACCTTAAAAAAAATGAGACTTTGATTTTAAGGTAGAACTGTCATAGCAACAATCATGAGGAAGTGCAGGACCCAGCAGTGCTTTGCTCTGTTGGCTATAGGGTTGCTATGAGTCGGGAGTGACTGATAGCACCTAACAACAACAATCCCTGAGTTATCAGAATATTTCTGAAATGTATTTGTTTAAACAAGAAACTTAGATCATACTGTGTTGGTAGAAAACTATGTTTTGAAGGGAATCCCTTTATCCCTGACAATACTATATTACTTACACTATTTAATGTTCACCTTGTTCAGTAATACTTTTTTGCTCATTAGATTATCTTTTTTAATTTTAGAGGCAGTACCTGGTCTTTATTTATTTATTTTTTAATGTAAAGAACACTGAAATGTATAATGAAGAAAGTGAAAGTCTCTGGTAATCCTATCCCTTCTCTCTTCCCAAAAACAATCATTGTTAACAGTGTATAACCTAAAAAACCTAAACCGTTGCCGTCGAGTCGATTCCAACTCACAGCGACCCTACAGGACAGAGTAGAACTGCCCCATAAGGTTCCCAAGGAGCACCTGGTGGATTTGAACTGCCGACCTTTTCATTAGCAGCGGTAGCTCTTAACCACTACTCCACCAGGGTTTCCGTTAACACTGCCTACTCCTCCACAACTGCAAGCTAAATGGTAATTTTATAAAATTTAAGTATACAAATATGTGATTTATTCACAATTTTTACAGAACAGTTAATATTCCAATTACTGTTCATTCCTAAGTAAAAGGCGGGGTGGGGCGAGGGGAACACAAACATGCATAATTTAGAAGATGACCTTTTAGCTAGCATACATCATAGAGAGCGGTCTTGCTGTAAATTAGGGACGTGCAAGTGTAGCCAATTAAGAGCCAAAAAAAAAAAAAAAAGCACTGTCGGACTCCGAGCACAAAATTGGGGAACACCCGGTAGAAATACAGGATGCAATACTAGGTAGCGTTGTTCTTCAGAAAATCTCGAGAAAAACACAACAGTCGTTTAATAAACGATTACTAATAATGTTAAAGTTTCCTTATCCAAAGCAACAAGATAGTAGACAGCAATAAACTAACAAGCTATCAACGCTTATTCTTGAAGTCCCCCCCCCCTTTCCCAAGGCGCCGCGCCCCCCTACAAAAGACTACTTCTGTGAGCAGCCAACACGACCCCCGAAGTTCTGGCCCGGCCCGCCTAATCTCTGCAAGATACTGATCAAGGCTAAAACCACTAGGGCCGGGAGACTCACTAGTCTTAGGAGGAGGGAAGAGGTTGCCTTCATTAGGCCGCGGGTTGGCAAATGCGGATGAGACACTGAATGCCCGCGCTCCTCACCGATTGTGTCCACGCGGTGCGTGAGTAGAAGAGTCCGGGAGCCGCACCGAGCGGCGGCGGCGGCTGCTTCTGTCCCGGCATGTCCTCCGCCGATGACTACTACATCGAAGTGCGGCGACCTAGGCGCCCCGCTCTCACCGCTGAACCGGGCCAACGAAAGGTGCTGTTTGATGAGGGAACCGAGGGAACCCGCAACCCGGCGAGCACGGCTTTGGAGGGAGAACATAGTGGGAGAAAGCGTGAGTCTGTGTAACTCTGATCCCGACACAAGCGAGGCGCAAAAACTTGCGAGACAAGAAAAAAAAAATCAAGGTCTGCAGGGCGCAGCCATCTTAGTCTGATGTCATAGTGTAGCCCGTCTACGTCCAGCGTCGCCGCCGATAGGCAGATTGACGCAACTTTACTGGCTAAGGGTACAGGCCATTTGGTTACTTAGGCACTGGGCTGGGGGCTCTTATGCGAAGGCCATGTTATGTTCTTTCCAGGGAGTTGCAGCCCTGATCGCCAGGTGCCCACCTAAGAACAACGAATTGACTCACTTTGCCTTGTCAGATTCTTTTAATTTTTCGTACACTATCTCCTTGACTTCTGTTTGTCTATAAAGACTGCAGTCTGAAAATAGGAATAGATTCTATAGGAGTTCAAATGTATTTGTGAATGAAAGATTCATGATGGCTAATTAGGGGAATCAGATGATTGGAGATTAAATGTTCAGCCTTCTGGAATTAACATCCTTAAAGTCTTCCTCAAAGTGGAAACCTTTTGTTGGATACTGAAACCACGCTTGTGGCAGTTTTATTGTTCACATCATTAAAATCCATCAATAGATACTTTTTTTTGTCTTAGTATATTAGCAGTAAATGTTCCTTATACACAATTTAAACTTTACAGAAATACATAACTTGGAGACTTAAAGAACTCGTAATTTCCACCAGGCCTTCCATCCCCAGCCAGATAATGATTGTAAGCATTTTGGTGCTAATGCCTCCTAATTTTTTAAATACATATATTAATGTTGCTATTATTTTGTAGATATAATGCTGTGATTATACTGTTTTGCAGTTTCCTTTTTTCCTCTGAATATATTTTTGAGATCTCTCCATACCTTGTATATATAACTTCATCTCATTTTTTACTGCTGTATACTATTCCATTGTGTATGTGAACCATAATTTATTTAATCAACCCTTACTAATGTTCATTTGCATTATTTCTAATTTTGTATATTATGGCCATCCTTGTACATGTACCTTTTTTAATTTGTGAAACTTTCTATAAATTCCTCTGAGTGGAAATATTGCATTGAAGAGGTTCTCAATGTTTAAATTTTTAATAGATAACTGCTAAATAACTTTCCAAAAAGATAATTATGTCAACTTACACCAACAATGTATAAGATTATTTCCTCAGACTGTAGCCAACATTGGATTTAAATAAGTTTTAACTATAAATGTATTTTTAAAATATTTTTTAATGAAAATGGGATCATACTATCCATATTGTTTGTAATCTACTTTTTCATATGCAAGTTCATCATGGACATCTTTCTATGTCAATAAATACAGATCTATGTCATTTTTAAGGGCTATAGAGCATACTATTGTATTAATACTTTTAAATTAATAGTTTAAGCCTTTAGAGAATCACAGGCCTGCATTTAAGTGAGACCCCTCTTTTTCCAATAGAGACATTAATCACAGACCTAAAGATAGGATGTTTAGGTACAGTGTAGGATATAATTAACTGGATTTCTGCTGTAAAAGAAGATATAGCTCTTTATGCTCAAGTTGGCGTGTCATCCTTATTAAAAGTTAAGGGAGTCCTCATTGATCTTAGACTGTTTTATATTCTGAATCTTTACCTCAGGCTTGATTTTTATGCTAAAAGATTATCTACCAAAATTACAGGACACCTAGAAATACAGTCTCAAGGTCCCTGGATTATAAAAGGTTTTTTTTTTTTTTAAAATTTACTACCATGATTATAGAAAAGAGAAAAAAATAACAATGTAAAGTGTAAGCTACCAGAAAATATTTGTTGTTGTTGTTAGGTGCCGTCGAGTTAGTTCCAACTCATAGCAACCCTATGTGCAACCCTATGGTCCTGCGCCATCCTCACAATCGTTGTTCTGCTTGGGCTCATTATTGCAGTCACTGTGTCAGTCCATTTTGTTAAGGGTCTTCCTCTATTTCATTGACCCTCTACTTTACCAAGCATGATGTCCTTCTCCAGGCACTGGTCCCTCCTGATAACATGTCCAAAGTACGTGAGACAAAATCTTGCCATCCTCGCTTCTAAACATATTTTTAAAACACCCAAAACCAAACCTGTTGCAGTCGAGTCAATTCCGACTCATAATGACCCTAAAGAACAGAGCAGAACTGCCTCCATAGGGTTTCCAAGGAGCGGCTGGTGGATTCAAACTACTGACCTTTTGGTTAGCAGCCGAGCTTTTAACAACTGTGGCACTGGAGCTCCAAGGATATTTAGGCATTATAAATAATATTTTTAAAAAGATAACTCTAATTTGTTAATAAACTTTTTTCCCTCCTATTCTCCACTTAATTTCAAGTCTGCTACTTATTAAGTAATGAGAAAAGCAGAAGACCAGATCACTGCCTTTCAGAAGCATATAATTTCACGACCAGTTCAGGCATTGTATAAGAAACAGAAGGGAAAGGAAGTCAACTGTAAATTAGTAAATTTCACTACCATTTTGGAGAAAGATTGGGCCTAGAAAAAATGAATAAACTCAGTTCTTATCTTCATAGAGTTCGTAGACTAGTGCTAGCATGCACACAGTTATGAGGCAATGCAATAAGTACTATAATAAAGGCTGTACACGGTGAGTTATGAATACAGGGAGCAGGAAGGGAGTGATCCTGTCCATGGCAGATGACAGGGAAGGCTTGCTTCAGCTGGCCTATGAAATGGACTTGAAGTAATTCATCGTAAAAGGAAAGAAGAGTCATTGGGAGATCCTTTATTATCTGGTCTCCAAAACACCTTTTTTTGTCTCTTTCCAACTGTCTACCACACAGAACAAGATACTTTGTTTTTGCATTTGCTGTTTCCTCAGTCTGAAATGCTTTTTTCCTCCTTCCCCCACCCTCATACCTCCAACCTCCCCACAAACTTTATGGGATTTGATTATTCAGAGAAGAAGAATGTCATTCAAGGCAAAAGGAACATTTAACAATTTAACATCTTATAT